AGAAATAAAAGCAAAAATAAATAAATGAGACCTAGTTAAACTTATAAGCTTTGAACAGCAAAGGATACCATAAACAAAACAAAAAGACAACCTACAAAATGGGCGAAAACATTTGCAAATGATGTGACTGACAAGGGCTTAATTTCCAGAATATACAAACAGCTCGTACAACTCAATAACAACAACAAAAACAAACAACCCGATTCAAAAATGAGCAGAATACCTAAAAAGACATTTCTCCAATAAAAACATACAGATGGCCAATAGGTACATGAAAAAATGCTCAATATTGCTAATTACCAGAGAAATGCAAACCAAAAATACAATGAGGTATTACCTTACACTGGTCAGAATGGCCACAAAAGATAAATGCTGGAGAGAGTGTGGAGAAAAGAGAATCCTTTTACATCGTTTGTGGGAATGTAATTTGATATAGCCGCTACGGAAAACAGTATGGAGATTCCTTAAAAAAGTTAAAACAGACTTATATAATCCAGTAATCTCACTTCTGGGCATTCATTTGGAGAAAATGCTACTTTGAAAAGATACATGCACCCCAATGTTTATAGCAGCACTATTTACAATAGCCAGGACATGAAAGCAACCTGAATGTTCATCAACAGATGATTGGATAAAGAAGATGTGGTAGATATAGATATAGATATAGATATAGATATAGATATAGATATAGATATAGATAATGGAATACTACTCAGTCATAAAAAAGAATGAAATAATGCCATTTGCAGCACTATGAATGGATCTAGATTATCATACTAAGTGAAATCAGAGGAAGACAACTACCATACAATATCACTTATATGTGGAATCTAAAAAAGTAAAATGGCATAAATGAACTTATTTACAAAATAGAAAGAGACTCAATATAGAAAACAAATTTACAGTTACCAGGGGGAAAAGGTGGGGAGGGGAGGGATAAATTCGGAGTCTGGGATTTGCAGATACTAACTACTATATTAAAAAAAAACCAAAACAGATAAACAACAAGGTCCTACTATTTAACATGGGGAACTACAGTCAGTATCTTGTAATGACTTATAATGATAAATAATATGAAAAAGAATTTATTATCTATATAAATGAATCAATATGCTGTACACCAGAAGCTACCACAACTATACTTCAATTAAAAAAAAATTAGAATTTGAAGAACTTCGGACAAAAAAAAGAAAAAAAGAAAAAAACCAACATAAGAAACAAAAACAGCAGAAAAGATTCAGTCCTAGTTTTCCCATTCTTTTCTCTCTATGCTTTTTGCACTGAGTGATCTCATCTATGTTCCAGCTTCAATTTCCATCTATATGTTAACATCTCAGTTTGTATCCCGGCTTCCTCTTTGTTCTACAGACCCTTATAGACCAGTGCTTCTTTAACACTTGCTTGAATTGCTCAACAGCATCCTCCACTCAACATATCCAAGTGGAATTTTCAGTGCTCTCCCCAATATTGCTCTTCTGTGTACTTCAGCAAACACCTTTCACCTAGTCAAACAATCTGGAAACTTTTAGAGTACATCAACCAAAGAACACTAAGAACAAAACTGTAGTCCGAATTAGATTTATGTTGCTTACCGTGGCCAGGAGCAATGCACTCCAGAGGAATTATGGATCATCTTAGTAAGAGAGTTTTTAGGAGCTTCTTACAGGCTTTGGATTGTAGTGAATGGTTGTAGGAAGGATTTAAAAATGTGAGGTCCAGTTTTGATTGGGAGGTTGTCGGTTGTCAAAAAAGCTAGGGAAATTGAATAACTGATCTTACTTTTTTTTTTATTTTAATAGAAGGAAGGAGGATTAAAATGGGCTGAAAGTAGTCACTGCTACAAAATAGCAATAACATGTTAGCCAGAAGAGAGCACGTTGAGAATAGCTTTGTCTGTCTTGTTCCAGACATGTCACTGAGTGGCCTTCTCTGAATATTGTCTGTAACTTATTTACTTTGAGTTTTAGCACCTCCCAGTTTTAGTTAAATTATTTTGGGA